GCACTGGAGAATAGCCTGGGCACTGGAGAGAAGCCTGGGCACTGGAGAAAAGCCTGGGCACTGGAGAATAGTCTGGGCACTGGAGAATAGCCTGGACACTGGAGAATAGTCTGGGCACTGGAGAATAGTCTGGGTACTGGAGAATAGTCTGGGCACTGGAGAAAAGCCTGGGCACTGGGGAAAAGCCTGGGCACTGAGGAAAGCCTGGGCACTGGAGAAAAGCCTGGGCACTGGAGAATAGTCTGGGCACTGGAGAATAGCCTGGACACTGGAGAATAGTCTGGGCACTGGAAAATAGTCTGGGCACTGGAGAATGGCCTGGGCACTGGAGAATGGCCTGGGCACTGGAGAGTAGCCTGGGCACTGGGGAATAGCCTGGGCACTGGAGAAAAGCCTGGGCACTGGAGAATAGTTTGGGTACTGGAGAATAGCCTGGGCAATGGGAAAAAGTCTGGACACTTAGAATCTTGGGCACTAATGTCTAGGCACTGGGAAAAGCCTGGGCACTGGGAAAAAGCCTGGACACTTGGAAGAATTCTGGGCATTGGAGAAAAGCCTGGGCAGTGATGACTGGGTACCGGGGAAAAGCCTTGACAAGAGGAAAAAAAATCTGGGTATTGGGCAATAGAGCAAACATAACATGCTTGGACATAACATGCAAGCCTATGCATGGAAACAAACTATATAGTTGAGAAAAGGAGTGCATCCAATACTCAAGAGATTATGTGAATTGAAAAATAACATTAGAAATAGCCTTTACAGAGTACGAAAATACTACATAACAAGTTGGGGTGAGTGATATACGTCCTGGTATTTGGAACGAACTAAAGCATAGTGGGTATTGCGTACCATAAGAAAACCTGGACAATACAAATACCTATAAGCAAAGGACTGTCAAAACTATCCGAATGTAGATATAAGGGACAGAAGACATTAAGTTTTAATGAAGGCAAAGGGAAGTCAGGTGTGCATTAAGTAATAATAAGGCAAGTGACGGATTATAATACATGTGATATTGGTTTTTAGAAGTGTGGTTACTATGTGTCACTCTGGTGAGACAAGATTAGGTTGCGAAAGGAAGTAGAGTGTAAATTTAGAATTGAAGAAATATACACAGTGCAAGGGAGCAAA